GGCTTTTGTGCTTGACCCACGTGGCTGCCACACTGCCTGGGCCCGCTGCCAAGTCCTCCCATTGTAATCTGCCCACCGGGTACCGCGGCCCTGCTCATCCGTGTGCTGCTTAGTGTGGGGAGGAGCTGCCGCAGGCTGTGGGCCGGGAGCCTGCTCGCCCACACAGGGTAGTGCAGGCCCCTCGGTGGGCCATGCACTCCCTGCGCGTCACCCCTGCCAGGACCACTGCAGGCCAAGGTTTCTGGCCAGAACCTTGTCTGCTTGCTCCATGGGGCCAGACGGCTCCCTGAGCACTGCACCGTCTCACTGCCGGGGCCTTGAGGCGGCTGCCAACAGCCTGGGTGACGATGGGCAGAGGTGACTCCCACAGCTGGGGGTATCCCAGGAGGCCGTGCACAGCTGTCCTGTCCTCACACTCAGCAGCTCTGGACGGGGCAGGCCTTCATCACAGGGAGGGCAGGCTCTGGCTGCCCCTCTCCAGCCAGCGTGTCCCCGAGGATGAGCCTGGAGCAGGGGTGGGTGGTGCAGGGTACAGGTAGCCACCCCGTCTCACCCCTCCTCACGTCCTCATCACTTGGGGGGCCTCGGCACCTGCCCACAGGCTGTGGACAGGTATACTGGCCCTTACCCTGAGCTCCCAGGCCCTGCTGGGGCAGGCATGGGCAGCACCCTTGGCATCCACCTGCAGAAGGTGCACTGTGCTGGCCCAGGGATGCCCACCCTGAGCCTGGCTCGTGTACGCCTCAGCAGGGCAGGCTCGGCCTGGCATCCAGCTGCTGGCCATGAGACGGCAGCTTCATGGTGAGCTCTCGGCAGGGCCTGTGGCCGGCAGTGCCCTGGGCTGTGCCGCGTTTCTGGGATCATTCTGGGCTGGCAAGGCAGGGTGAGGAGGGCTGCCCTCCTCAGGCTCCCAACATGGCAGCAGCCTGCCACCTCTGCCAGGTGCCCACCGGGCAATGTGTCACATGTGCAGTGGGGAAGTCGATGTCCATGCAGCCCAGCGGGCTGTGGGCTTCCCGGCCTCCACAGGGCCCAGGTGCCCGGGCCAGGCCCAGGCTGGCTGTCCTGGGCCGGTGTGAGCTGAGACGTTCCTCTGCTCTTTCAGGTTGAGACCCCTGGTGTCCACACAGCTGGCCAAGAAGGCAGCCATGGGAGAGCATGTCACATGTGCAGTGGGGAAGTCGATGTCCATGCAGCCCAGCGGGCTGTGGGCTTCCCGGCCTCCACAGGGCCCAGGTGCCCGGGCCAGGCCCAGGCTGGCTGTCCTGGGCCGGTGTGAGCTGAGACGTTCCTCTGCTCTTTCAGGTTGAGACCCCTGGTGTCCACACAGCTGGCCAAGAAGGCAGCCATGGGAGAGGTGCGTTGTCCTGCAAGGCCGAGCCTGGGCCCCGGGGAGCAGCCCCCACACCCCTGGGTCCAGACACGCAGCCAGGAAGGAGCAGGAAGTACCTGCCAGGAGGGCCCGAGCGACTGCTCCGGCACTGGCCTGGCACAGCAGTCTGAGGCCCGACGGGAGCAGTGGCTCGGGTGGGGTGGGGGCAAGGACAGCAAGCACAGCGGCCGGGGCTTAGGTAAGTATCCCCCATGGCCTACCTGGCCTGGTTGAGCGGTCAGCGTGCTCGGCACGAGCCCCGCCCGTGTGTCACCCTCTGGGCGCGAGGGCCTGACCAGGCCTTAGCAGGCCCCCCTGGGTGGTGGTCCTGGCCAGGGCTGAGAGCCAGCTTGGGGGCTGGGAGCAGGTCTGCTCCGACACTGCCGCCCAGGAGGGGCCAGGGTTAGCCCGGGCTGACCCCGTGGACAGCCGAGGGAGCTGGTGGGCCTCATAGTGTCCGCCTCCCTGTAGTGGTCCAGAGCTCGACCCTCTGTTCCAGGCCCTGCTCCCAAACCGTCCTGCCCCCGGAGCCGAGCTGGTCAGACCTGCGGCTGTCCTGGTGGAGAGTGGGCCCGTGTCATACCACCCCGAGGAGGAGGCCGACGAGGAGGACGCTGACGAGGAGGATGGGGAGCCCTGCGTCAGTGCCCTGCAGATGCTGGGCGGCAGTGGTGGGTGGCCGACAGCCCCGACCTGGGGACATTTGTACGAGACACTCAGACTAGCTGTGTGACTCTCGCAGTCTCGACCCTGTGGGAAGAGACCAGCTGGGCCTGGACGGTCTCAGGGACAGGGTGCGTCAGGAGGGCTGTGGGCCGGGAGGTGGTCAGGTCCACACGCGGGTACAGGACCCAGGCCGCAGGCCCTGGACAGGCGGGGGGGGGGGCACTAGCCCCTAGGACCTGCAGACAGGCCGACTGTGAGGGGCCCTCTGGGAGGGGGATCCGGGGACGGACCGCAGAGGTGCCAGGCAGCCTGACCACAGCTGTGTCACAGATTACGGCTGTGACGGCGATGAGGATGAAGCCTACTGAGGACCTGGCAGTGGGGCCTAAGCACTGGACACAGCAAGAGGACAGCGCTGCCCACTTACTGCAGCCCTGGCCACGCCACACGTGTTCCCCTGGCTCCTCTCGGGAGCATCGTAAGGAGGGCGCCCCAGCATGGGAAGCCAGTCTGGACGTCTGTGGGTCTGTCAGGCTGGGAAGCCCAGCGTGTGCAGGCGAGGGTGGTCCTGGGGACGTGCCTCATTCCTTAAGGGCACTTCGCCGCTGCCTCCAGAGGTGCCCAGCCCCCTAGCCTGGAGTCTGGGGAAGGTGGCAGGACGGCTCCAGCATGGCATCTGTGACCATGTTGGTCCAGCGCTGGCCCTTGGCTCCCAGTGGCAGCCCCAGCCCATCCAAGGTGGGCATGTGTCCCACTACCCCTGGCCACCTGTGCCCGCACCACCAGGAGTCGCACCTCATGGGCCAGCACGCAACCCCACATGCCTGCATGGCAGCATCCTGGGCACACAGTGCGCCTCTGCTTGGAGAGCAGGGCCAGTCCAGAGGGCCGCGGAGCTCCCCGAGCTGGCATTGCGGGGAGGGCAGAGCCTACAGAGCTGGGTGCCCAGGCTGGAGCACCGCCATGGACAGGACCTGAGGAGGAGGGCTCAAGGCCCAGCCCCACCCCGTCCCTTCAGGAGAAGGTGGCTGTGGTGGCCGAGCTGCACTGCGCTGCCCCCCGGGGCCCTGCCCCCGCCTCTGCTGCTGCTCAGCCCCCAGAGGGCCGGAGCTCCCGCTGAATACG